ATCAGAGCCAGGCAAGTGCCAGACCACTGATTCGCAACTTGGAGAGCCTCCCCAGGAGGATACTGTGATCAACAGTATCGAAGGCTGCTGAGATATCGAGGAGGACCAATGAAGACATTTGCCCCTTGTCAGCCTCCCTCAGCAGGTCATCAAACAGGGTGACCAATGCTGTTTCCATATCATGGCACAGCCTGAAGCCCGACTGGAATGGATCCAGGTTATTGGTTTCATCGAAAAGAGCCTGAAGCTGGTCAGCCACCACCCTCTCTACCACTTTGCTAAGGAAAGAAACAGGGGTGACGGGCCTATAATTGCCAATATTGTCCGCTGCCAAACTTGGTTTCTTTCTTATGGGCCTAATGAGCATCTCCTTGAGGGCAAAGGGAACCTTTCCCTCCTGGAGAGACCCATTAATTATTGCCGTGGCCCATTCAGTTGTTGTAAGCCTGGCTGCTTTCATTAGCCAGGCTGGGCAAGGGTCAAGGGAGGAGGTGGTGGCACGACAGAGGTCAGGCGCTTTGTCCACCATATCTGGCATCACAGGCTGAAAGAGACTGAGTCTCATCAGGCAAGGCGGAGCGCTGGACGTCTCTGCTCAATCTACGGTATTCAAAAAAGGAGAGAGCTCCAGGTGGATGGCCACCACTTTAGATTTTTAAAATGCTGCCAATTGGTCAGGTGAAATACTAGTAGGAGGCCCATCACTTAGACCAATTCCGGATAGATCACGAACTATTACGGAAAAGTTCCCGATTATAATCCGTTGGGTTCCATCTCCAAATGCACTCTGGCCTTCTCCTGTTTTGCTTCATAGCTTGCAGCTCCTGGTTAAACCAGGGCATTGGCCGAGCTCTGCAACGGAGAGGACGTTTAGGAGCGATCATGTCAACAGCCCCATATCTATTTACTCTGAAGTAAACCCACTAATTTCAATGGAACTTGCACCCAGACAGGTGTGTGTAGCCTTGGAGCCTTAGAAGAGATAGTGTGGCATAATATTTAGAGAGCAGACTAGAAGCGGGTTAGACCAGTGGTTCTTAACCTTTTTGAAAGAAACACCCCCTTGAGCCATTGAGGAAGTTATCATCACCCCCTCCCCACAGCATGGCAGTGGCACGGTGCTGCTGCACGGAGGAGAACAATGCTAACTTCCTCAATGGTGGTGGTGGCGCAGCCACAGCATGGCAGTGGCACGGCGCTGCTGCAGGGAGGAGAGCAATGATAACTTCCTCAATGGTGGTGGTGGCGCAGCAGCTCCATCGCCCCCTACTGTTCCTTCACCCCCACATCACCCCTTTTCATTCCATTGCCCCCCTGAAAAACAAAATCGCCCCCTGGGGGGTGATATCGCCAAGGTTAAGAACCACTGGGTTAGACCAACCTCTCAAGATATGAGGACAAAATGAGAAGTAGCAGGGGGGAAATCATACAAATTGCCTTGAACTCCTTGGAAGGAGGGCAAGAGATGAACGTGAGAAAAGGAAGTGTATTTGGTTGTCCTCCTGTTTGTAAAGCTTCTGTTCACAGTGCATTTGGTCACAATTATTTTGCATTTGTGAGTTAAGTGCATTATTGTTTCAGACTTGAATGAATGTGAAAGTAGCCCGTGTAGCCAGGAGTGTGCTAATGTGTATGGCTCCTATCAGTGTTACTGCCGTCGGGGCTACCAGCTCAGTGACATAGATGGGATCACATGTGAAGGTGAGTAACAGTGATGAGGTACTGTCTTTATAGGAAGCTTCTGTATACTGATTTAAGACTGATGGTCCAAGTGACCCAGTGTTACTGTGACTATTGGTGGCAACTGCTCTTCAAGGGCTCAAATAGCAGTTTTTCCCAGTTTTGCTATCTTGACTGTTTTAACTGACGATTCTGGGAACATCTACCTGCAAAGCATGTGTTCTACACCTGAAATGGGGGGTCCTTCTCTCATAATATAATTTCAGCATTAGCCCTTGGGTTTGGTTCACACACATGTATACTCATTGCTTGATGGCTACAACATCAAGTATAAAGTTGCATTACTTAATGAATTATTACAAATACAACCCCAATTCTCCTAGATGGTTCATTCCACAGCTCTCCTAGTTTGCCAGTGCTCTCCCCACATCTAGCTGAGGGTCATGACATATATTTTAGTGCCCCTTTATCAGAATATAGCCTAGATCCTCTTGTTTAATGTAATGAATTGCACTTGATTAGGCCCATTGAGCCATGGGGATTTGGTGAGTAACTCCCAGTGGTATCTGGCTTCAGAATGATAGAATCATAGAATAGTGAAACTGGAAGGGGCCTATAAGGCCATCAAGTCCAACCGCCGGCTTGATGCAGGAATACAAATCAAAGGATATCTGCCAGGTGGTTGTCTTAGTTTCTCTTGAATGCCTCCAGTGTTGGAGCGCTCACCACCTCTTGAGATAATTGGTTCCATTGCCATTCTGCTCTAACATTTAAGAAGTTTTTCCTCATATTCAATTGAAATCTGGCTTCCTGTAACTTGAGCCCATTGTTGCGTGTCCTCCCAGGCAGAGGCTGGGAGTTCGATTCCCTGTCATACTTCCTTGACAGGGTTGGACTCGATGATCAACATGGTTCCTTTCAGCTCTGCAGTTCTAAGATGATGATTAAGGTTATATACATTTCACCAATTCAAATGGGCCTATTGTAATGGCAACTTATGTTAGCATAGTAAGTCACAGAGTAAGCCTATTTGAAACAATGAAATTTATAGTGGAGTTGACTCACTAAACTGCCACTGATTCAGTGGGCCTATTCTAGTGTAATGTATTATACTAAGCAACAGGATTTTGTCCGATGTGTGCTGGATACCAGGGTGCGTAAACAATTTGTGTTTGGCCTAATTAGTGCAGATATTGTTTGTAAGAGTACATAAAGTTTACTTTTTTTTAAAGGACAGTAAGACTCATTTATACATTTTTGGGAGGTAGAATGTTTGTAAAGCCCAGCTTTTGATGGATGTGTGGAGTATATCCTCTCAAATTGGGATCTTAGTATTACTACTTTATAAAATACGGGTCTTCTGTAGAGATATGGAAAAAGTAGAGATATGGAAAAAAGTTGCAACCCTTAATTCCTACCTTCCTTCAAAATTCTTAGTGAGACATTTTGTCTGAAAACCGTTAAAAGAAAAAGAAAAAACAACACCCAAAGTTTCCAAAATCAGTGCAAGTTTTATTTTAGGACACCTTTAGTGTTTACACAGAGAATTGTGTATAGTTTCTGGCTTTCTAAAATGGCCACCAAATTTTCCTCAGAGTCGAATTGGGGAATGGGTGTCATGATCCTCCTGTTTCTAGCATGTGGTGGAATTTCTTTAGCAATCCCCCAGTGTGCATTGATGTTTTGGTGATGTGTTATGTGTGCTCAAATCCCAAGTCTTCTATTCTGCAATAAGGAGCAAATTGTGTCCATTGTGCTTGCTAATCTGTGCATGTGATTTTCAGATATTGATGAATGTGCTTTACCCACTGGAGGACACATCTGTGCCTATCGGTGCATTAATGTTCCGGGGAGTTTTCAGTGTACTTGTCCCTCTTCTGGTTATAGGTTGGCCCCCAATGCACGGAATTGTCAAGGTATGTTGAAAATACAACTGAGTGCACATGTGGCACTCCTAAAGATAAAGAGCCTAAGGCAGCATTGCAGAGCTTTTGTAACGTTCAGTTATGAAGTAAAACATGTGTGGAATATACAGCTCTGATAGTTTGCTTTTCAATAGGGAATTCCTTTTTTCTTCCCATATTAGTTCCATCACTCACTTCTGTTAGGGGACAAACTTAACCAATGAGGTGGAATCAGGCAGTTTTCAAGGTCACAGATCTTGTTTGCCATGGAAGACTACAAAATGTGTTAAGTTATTTTGCTATTATTATTTCAGCATGAGGAGATGCTGTTTCTAATTATTATTTTAATTAACTCTATCAGTATAAGAATAATGTTACCATGAGCACTAAAAACTCCTATGCCAGCAATGCCCCTTCTTCGTTTTGTACTTAGAACAGAGTTTGACTCTCCATTTCAAAAGTGAATCTCCTCCCTTCTTTGTTACTTTTATGGTACTAAGAGAAGGTAATAGTCAACAGGAAACATCACATCAAATGCATCTAAATTATAATGTTTGAGGATTTGTTCTCAGCTTTTGGACTCTGGTAGCATGCCTACAGGCCTGGTTTGAAAGACTATGCTCATTGCCAAATGAATGTACAGTTGTCTGTCACTAGATGTGAGCTTCTTGAACAGAATGAGAGATGCAGGACTTTTCCGACTGGGTCTACTTTTCAGCACTTTCATGCGTTGGACAAAGCTTTCTCTATCTTTTTGGAGATTAGTTACATCCAAGTTACTCCAGACAATATTGTCTAAATGTAGCGACCTAAAGTCTTTGGAGTATTTCAAGACTTCTGTTTTTTCTGTGTGGATTAAAAAATATCACTAATAACAACACAAGGAGGTGCTAGACTTTCAGCATCTTGTGTGTCTGTATATGTGTGTATAACACCAGTGTGAAACTTCTCACCTGAAAAAGAATACCCATTAATCCAAAATAATATCTATGATGCATGTCAAATTAATGTCCAGTTAGAAGAGGTTGATCAAATAACAATTCAAAGTATGTTTTATATCGTTTTATCATCGATTATTACTGTTATGAATGGTACCTATGTTTATTTTGAATTCTTTTCGTATTCTATTGACAATTGCCCCCCCTGCTTTCAATGTTTTTATCTCTTTTCTTCTGTAACCATTTAGATATAAACTTGTATAGATAACCTTTCATGCATCTGATGATGTTGGCTTTAGTCCACAAAAGCTAATCCTATGATATGTTTCTTAGTCTTTTAACTATTATTGCACTCTTTATTGTTTGTGTAGAAATAAGTAATTATCATTTCTGCAGCAGCAAGGGTAAAATTTATATTCAGTACAAACGAGAAATCACCCAGCATCCCTTGATAGCTTGATTAAAAACTCACTCATGCATAGGTGTATCCCCTTCAGACTGCAGGTAACAGGATATAATAGAATATGTGATTGGATGTTTTCTGTGCAAGGTAAAATCCTACACATAGAGAACAATCTCAGAAGAGTTCTACCCCATAATTCTTCCTCATATATTATGAGGGAGCATTCAAACTTGTGAACTCCAAACTTCAGTCTAAATAGTATAGTCCCCAGACATAGATTTCCTTTCTCAGTTTGAACTAGACTTCTGTCAAATCTGTGTACTCACAGTAACCCTTTCTCCATCTCCTCCTTCCTTCCCTTTTGACAGATATTGACGAGTGTGTTGCAGAAACACATACCTGCGCGTTCAATGAGACATGCTTTAATATCCAGGGTGGCTTCCGCTGCCTATCTTTGGAGTGCCCAGAAAATTACCGGAAATCTGGTGACACGTGAGTACATTTCTTGTCTCATTAGGTGGCTTGGTAGTAGTACTAGGATCCTAAACCACATAATGCTGTTCTCCAGAAGCTGGGGTGTGTGTGTCATGGTTGAGTTTCTTTATAATCGGTCAGGCAGTTCCAAAGTACTATTTTTATAAAGTAAAATATTTAATTTCCTTTATAATTTTCTCTGTGTATATAAGTGTAAACTTTTTTTTTATTCTTTCTGGGTTTTTTTGGGGGGGATTCGTATTTTTGTTCTTTCTCCATAACCAATATTTAACATTGGTTGTTTTATTTTAGAGCTTCAATCTCTGTGGCTCGGAACTAAGCCAGGTATAATCATGGATGAAGAAGGGGCTTAAAATAAATCCCCAAATGATGAACTAAAATAATCAGAAATTAAACCCAAGAGCTGTGTTGTTTTTTTAATAATCATATTTATTTTTCAGGTTTATGTGGCTTTATATAATTACAGAGTGCTGAAGGGTTGCAACAAAGAGCTCTTAGACTATAGCACTTTTGGAAATTTTATCCTGCCTTACTAGCTCAGCAATCTGTTTCCGTCCCTGCCCCTTCATAGCTCTTCTCTTTCCCACTGTCTTGGATTTCTTCCACAGTGACACCTACAGACAAGCAATTGGTAGAGCATCATGCTGGGCCAAAACATGGGGGAAAGTTGTGGATTTGCAGTTGACTTAGTGGTTTCGATTTGCTGGCTCCCCAGTATTAAGTTAAAGGTCCCCAATGGATGCTTACCTCTACCCACGCGAGTAGCAGCAGTTTACATTTGAGCCCACAATTGTACGACTGGGCTTTTGCTGCTAATTGCTTCTAGCCATTGTGGTGCATGACCTAAAACTGAACTTTGGTCTTCGAAACCAGTAGCATCTGCAAGCTACTCTTTGTGGCTGCAGGATGGAATCATTAGAACACGTTTAAGTAAACCAGCAATGAAGTGTGTGGTGAATATGGTGGGATACCAAACAATAAGATAAAGAGATTGGTGATTTTTGAACAATTCTAACTTCCTAGCCACTGGTGTATCGGCTTCCCGCAATATATTTCGGAATCAGCAGAACGGCTGTTTTCATTTGTGTGTTTTTCACCCCTCAGTGTTATTTCACATATATGCAGGAAAAGAATATGTGATGTCCTTCTTTGTATCTTCCTACCAGAGCTTGGAACATCATACAGTGGTGCCTCGCTAGACGATGATAATCCGTTCCACTGATATCGCTGTTTAGCATAATCATTGTCTAGCGAAAAGCATTTCCCCATTGGAATGCATTGAAACCTGTTTAATGCGTTCCAATGGGGAAGAAGCGTCGATGTCTAGCGAAGATTGGCAATAGGAAAGCTGCTTTGCGAACTGACGATCAGCTGTTTAAATAGCTGTCTTGCGAAGCTTAGGCCCCGAAAACACCCGTTTTGCGAGCACAGAGGGAGCTGTCAGAATCGTTGTCTAGCGAAAATTGGTTTGCGAAGCAGGGACCAAACATTGTCCAGCGAAATTCCCCCATAGGAATCACTGTTTTGTGAATCGCTATAGCGATCGCAAAAAGTCAATGTCTAGCGAAAAAATTGTCATGCGGGGTAACTGTCTAGTGAGGCACCACTGTATTTAAGATATAGTGGCTCAAATCCAGTACTGTAGTAAGTCACAACTAGAGTTGTCCCATTCAACTAGTGGACCTTACATAAGGGCTGACTCACCATGCTTTTATTTGTAAGTATTTTTTTGGTTTGAAATGATAAAGTTATGCTCTCCTTACTCCAAAAGTAGTGACCCAAATTTCATTGGTTAATTATGCCTGCAAAAGGCAAATGGTGTAACTTGCAGCAGCTTCTCACTAACAAATTAAGAGTCCCCCTTCAGGTATGTGCTAATCAACTTGGACCGGTGTGCATCTGAAAATCTCAGCAGGGACCTGTTAATTGCCAACAAAAAGCTGTTTCAGGTTATGTCACTTGATATCCACAGGTGTAACCGTGCAAGAGGATTTAGGTCAGTTTTCAAAGAGGTAGCTGAGTTAGGCAGAAATAAACCTGTTAGTGCTTAAGGTGCTACAATATTTTCCTCTTTTTTCTGTTATATATGCTAAAAGTAATGTGCTACAGATTACATTATTGTGTGTGTTACTTTCAAGCTGTGCTCAGTATCTGTACAAATACATGGTGGACGAGGATTCCACAAGCATCATTGCTCCAAAGGGTCGCCAAGTGAATTTGTTGAAGTCCAAGTAAATGAGCAAAGGGTAATGCAGAAGTGCTTAGAGGCAATATGAATTTAGCTATCTCAGAGCAGCAAGGGTGATACATATCCCTTATTTTGTGAGCCTATGTCTTTTTTGAGTATAAGAGTAGATTAATTATAAAAAAATTATTGATAGGGTTAGAATACATAGGGTTTGCATATTGTGTTGAAAGCAGTCATTGTGGTTGGAAGATCATGGTGAAGACAAGCAATTAGAGGTGTTCAGGAAAGCAACGCTGACAAAAGTTCTGGCATGACTACCAGAACCCCTATACAGTACTTTAAAGTTCTTTGTTTAACGAATTGTCTTCTTTGCTGTTAGGTCAGTGGCTGCAGGCTTTAATTTTGCAAAGAAAAGAACCCAAGCTCAGGCATGCATTGGCTCTCTGCCTTAGTGGACTCCCCACCCCCTTTCATTCCAAGGCCTGATTCTCAAAGATGTTGTAATCTTATGCCAGTGCCTTGCCACCTTAGACTACACATGCAGATTTATGTAGATGAGCATTGCTCTGAGCAAAACTGAACTAAACTAAACTCCTTCCGTTACACAGAGAAAAAGTATGTAAGGGAGAATGGCAGGTTAGAATTCTTCATTTTGATCTTTAGTTCCATATGTTCATGGATGTCCTTTTTTAATGTAGGGACATGGATGTGCCATGATTGTATGCTGCCTGTAATGAAGGGCAAAATGACATCTCCTTCCATTGCATGTACACAAAATGACAATAATATAGTCAAGTGGTAAGCTAGCTTAACAGATGGCCATGTTGGACACACACACATCCTTTCTGCTCCCCACTCCTCAGTGTCTGCTGCCTGAGGCAGTGTCAGTTCTGTTCAAACCCTGTCTGATGTGCTATAGACTAGATGTGGATTGCTCTGCTCACGCACACACACACATCCTTTCTGTTCCCCACCCCTCAATGTGTGCTGCCTGAGGCAGTGTCAGCTTTGTTCAAACCTGTCAGCTTTGTTCAAACCTGTCATATACTATAGACTAGATGTGGATTGCTCTGCTCAATAGCAAGAATAGGAAGCAACAACTGCTCTATGGAAGAAAAAGGCAGGAGGCTTCACTGTGTGGAAGTGCTAAGTGGCTTTGATTCAGTATGAAAGGGTGGGGTTACAACAATGGCAACAATACTGCCAAGATTTATTTTCCTACTTATATCATTGCCCATGATTCATGTTCTACAGTTAGGCATGTACAGAGGGAAAAAGGCGCATATTTTATTCTGTATGACCCTGCCCTCACTCAAAGCTTGTTGTAAAAGGAGAGAAGCACTTATATTTTCAAATAGGTTTCTCCACTCAGTTGTTTATGTATTGCAAATAACAATGTTTGGTACATAGAAACCTGCTCTGTACTGAGTCAGGCCATGGGTCCATTCAGCCTACTATTATCTCTGACCACCAGTGGTTTTCCAGGGTTTCAGGCAAGACATTTTGCTTGCCACAGCTGGAGATCCCAAATATTATTTGTATGTCTTCCATACAATTACTAAGCAGGCTTGACTCTACTTAGCTTCTGAAATAGTAGTAGTAGTAGTAGCAGTAGAAATAATGGTATATGAAGGCTAACATTGTTTACACAAGCATAATAGGAAGCTTATTATAGGCTTATTAATAGCTACTTAGAGACTGAGCCACTGAGGTATAAGGTTTGATAAATGGAGTTCCCTTCAAGCTAAATATGACCATTTTGAATTTCTATGGGATTTTAAAATTCAGAAGATCTAGTTGTTGTACAGTATATGCTTATTATGACAATAATGTACTTAAATTGAGTTGGCCTGTATGCTTTGCTTGGCTAAAGTAGGCCCCTGGCAAGTCCACAATTTGTTTTAGTTCTTCTTGAGAAGCAACTAGCCATAAGCTGTTGTAGGCCATCGCTAAGGCTAACTGTGGGCATTATGGAGAAGCTGGCAAGAGAAAGTATGACCTCATTTTCTTCTTCCCCACTTCCACTCATAATGCCAGTATGCGACAGAGGCAAGGTAAACATTCACTCAGGAAGTGGATTTCAGAAATAGTAACTTAAGGAGCCTGAGTAAACTGATTTGTTGGAAAAGGCCAGTGTCTACAGGCAGAGTTGCATACTGAGTGGCAATCTGGACTTATTCTACAGCCCTGTGCAGTATTCAGATGGCCCTTCTTCTATGGAGTTGACTGTAGGTCTTATAAGTCATTGTAAGAAAGTTCAGATAAACAGATAAAACAAACTTTGTATCAGATGCTTACCAGCGGAATCTTTGCATTCAGGCTATGTACATTTGTGTGTAACATAAAGACCACACTAAACATCTCTCATGAAAGTAATCTAGAAGTCTTGTAGAGTTGTCAGAGTGTGAGAGAAGCAATTCTGATGAAGGGGAGATCCATTCAATGGGAGGCAAGGCAAGGCAGTAAAAATTAGAGTAGTCCAGGCCACTACAGTCTAAAAGCAAGACTGTAGACAGGGCTGAGTGTGTGTGTGAATTGGCAGGATATGCAAAAGAAAAATACACCACACATGTGATTCAGTGCCATACCATAATAGTAATATCTGCAAACAATTTGTGTAGGTTGGGTAAATAATACACTTGCTCATGTAACAGAGTCATAGATACCTGATAAGCAGCTCTCCTCAAAGTATCAGACTTAAATATTTTCTACTGTAGAGGCAGATTAAGTTATTTTGATGACCAAGGCTGTGGTCACACCAATGAAATGTTTTCCAGTTTTCCCCCTTTGATTTTGCAATTTAAATTTG